CTTTAGGGGGAAGGATAACACTTATAAAGTCAACTTTGACTAATCTGCCAGTCTACTATTTATATACTTTCAGGATCCCCATAAAGTGTTAAGTGGCAACCAATAAGAGAAATTAATGAGGGGCTTCTTGTGGGAACGGGGGGATACAAAGAAAGATCACCTAGTGAAGTGGGAGATAGTGTCTAGAAGTAGGGATAGCCAGGGCCTAGGGATAGGGAATAGTAAACTAAGTAACATAACACTGTTGGGAAAATGGTTGTGGGGATTCCCCCTGGAACAAGATAATCTATGGCATAAGGTGATTGTGAAGATGTTTGGTTTGGATGTTGGGCTTGACACTAGGGCATCTTGGTCTTCTCCTTGGAAAGCGACCCATGGTTTATTGCCTTCCTTTCTTCCATATATCAGGTATGTTGCTTGTGTAGATAATAAAGTGCCATTTTGGGAAGATGTTTGGTTTGGGGATTCTTCTCTTAAAGGTAGATTTCCGTCTATCTATTCCCTTTCCCCAAGGATAGGGTTAAGGTAGTCTGAAATGGGGTTAGTAGATGAACTCATTTCCCTTCTCAATATAGTGTTCCTGGATCATTCTTGTTTGGACAGTAGAATTTGGTCGGTGTCATCCTTTGGCTATTTTACATGTTCTTCCTTCTTCTCAGCCATTCTTCAGTCTTCTAACATTACAGGCTCTTTTTCCACCGGAAGTTTGGTGTAACCCTGTACCTGTAAAGATAAGGGATTTTTGGACAGGCATAACGAAGAATCTTCCTGCCCTCTTTGAAGGGATCAGTCTTAAGGTGGGTAAAGGAGATAGAATAAAGTTCTGGAAGGACCCCTGGTGCATGGAGGGCCCTTTGGCAGACGCTTTCCCTCTTCTTTTCCAATGCTCTGTTAATCAAGACTCATCAATAGCTGAGAATTATAATTTTTCTGGAGGTACCCTTATTTGGACCCCCCTTTGCAGAAGAAGTCTGTTTGATTGGGAACTGGAGGAGTTTGTGGAGCTGTTGGGGCTTCTTCAAAATCAGAAGATAGATATGAATCTGGAGGATGAATGGAGCTGGAAATGGAATTCAGATGGTTGGTTCTCTGTTAAATCCTTGGTCCTCAAGCTGAACAATTCAGGTCAATTGGATTTTCCTGCAAATCAAACTTGGAATCCAATTAGCCCCTCCAAGGCTAACTTCCTTGTTTGGACAGTGGCTCTTGATAAATGTTTGACTAGAGCCAATCTGGAGAGACGTGACATTCAGATTCTGGACCCCTCCTGTGGTCTGTGTGGTTCTTTAATTCTTTTTCAGAAACTAAAGACCTGTGCATTCACTGCCCCACTTCCTCCGTGGTATGGGGACATTTCTGAAAGCTTTAGGTATTAGCTGGGTTATGCCAAGATCAGTCAAGGATCTGCTGTACTGTTGGAGAGTTGAAGGCCTCAACAAGAAAGGAAAATTAGTGTGGAAGACCATTCCTGCAGCTGTTTTGTGGTCTATTTGGGCTGAGAGAAATGATAGAATTTTCTGTACTAGAGCTAAAATCCCTGAAGTGTTAGTGCAGAGAGCTGTTGAGAAGTTGATCTCTTGGGGGTCGGTTACTAAGGAGTTTAAGCATCAGAATTTGGATCACTCGTTTGGTTCTCAGTCTTGGATGAGTCTGTAATCTGATTTGTGCTCAGGCAGTCTTTTTGGCCTGGGTTTTGTTGTATTGTTCTCCTTTTCTGTCTGAATAAATTTACTTTACCTTTTCCCAAAAAAAAGGATAAGAGCTTTTTGTTGGGAGGTGATACTCCAGAAAATCAACACTTTGGATAAACTATAAAAAAAGACCACATTTGCTGCCTTTACCCTCATGTTTGTTGTCTTTGTTTGGGCTGTGGTGAGAGTTGTGAGACAATTACACATCTTTTATTATCTTGTCCTTTTTCTTCTTTTGTTTGGAATTGGTTTTCTTCTCTGTTTGCCTGTAAGTGGACCCCTCCTGATGTGGCAACCCTTTTTGAACCAAGCTTCTTTAGATTACCAGAGAATAGAGGTAGGTTGATGTGGAGAGCCATGAGATCTGCTGTCTTTTGGTCATTTTGGGAAGAGAGAAATAACAGAATTTTCCAAGGGAAAGAAAGGCCCAAGGAACAAGTCATTGATAGCATACTTATAAAAGTCATACATTGGCTGAAATCAGCTGAATTATTCAAAGATTATTCAGGTGAGGACATTTTTAGAGGCTGGACAGTGACAAACCTTTCAACTACTAAGGATGTGGTTCAGCTTCAATGGTTACCAGCAGCACATCAAAGGATAAAATTGAACTTTGGTGGAAGTTCTTTGGGCAATCTGGGACCCTCAGGAGTTGGGGGAGTATTCAGAGACTGGGAGGCAGGCTGATAGCACTGTGCTCTGGCCCAATAGGTGTCAGGGATTCTTTAAGAGCTGAGAGTACGGCCCTACTCATAGTTTTCAAGGCGTCAAGGTGATGCTAGGCAACCATGGGGCGCCTAGGTGCCTAGCCCTTGCCTAGGCGATGGAATTTAAAAATAAGAAGCTGATGGATTTCTACCCCTTCTGGGCTAGTTTGTTTTGGTTTTATGTATTATGCACTTTTATGCTTGTGTTTCTAAAAGTGTCTTCAAGTAGGCAAAACAATATATTAGAGTTGCAACTTACAAATTAGAAGTTAGAACTTAAAAGAACTGAAGGGAGCGGAACCCCTATTTTTGATCAACAGAACATAGGGAACAAATACTAAAATAAAACAAGAAAATAAAGAAGAAAAGTAGGGGGCAGAGCCTCTGTTCTAGACCCAGAAAAGCTGGTGAAAAAATATTAAATTAAAGAAGAAATATGAAGAAGAAAAGAAGGGGTGGACCCCCTGTTTCAGACACCAATTATGAGAAAGAAAAGCTGAACAAAAGCAAGAAATTAAGAACAAAAGATGGGGGTGGAGCCCCTGTTCCACCCTTGTTTCAGACACCAGTAATGAGAAAAAAAGCCAAAAACATACAAGAAATTTAAGAACAAAAGAAGGGGCAGAGGCCCAGTTTTAGTCTAATAAAATGATTAAAAAAACTTGGGGAAAAGATACAAAATGGAAGAGGAGAAAAATGGGGTGTAACCACTGTTTTAAACCAGGAAACAGAGAACAAAATGAAGAAGAAGCTGATTAGCTCACCTTGACTTAGAGGACTGTGGGGGAACGATGGAGGGCTGTTGTTCTCTCCTCTTCCTTGGTTTGATTCTTTTGTCAAAGTGAATCCCTCGAGGATTAATTTTGTTTTTACTTTTCTCACAACAAAAAAATGATAACATGCAACAGGTTCTATTATAAAAACTAAAACAACCAATAAAATATTATATATTATATATTTGTTTTTATTTAATAAATATTATATATTATATATTTATTTCAGCCCCCTAAGCATGCACCTCACATTTTTTCCTGGTGTTTGGGCAAGGTGATCTTTGAAAAGTGCCTAGTTGCCTAGGTGTCGCATTGGCAACTATGGCCCTACTTCCAAGGTTTGAGGCTGGCTAAGCAATGGGGTTTCCAAAACTATGAGGTGGTGGGAGACTCTAAGCTATTAATAGGATGGCTGCAGGCAAAAAGTCTGGGGGTGGACTTTTAGACAGCAAATGAGGGAGATTTTTTGCTTAGCAATGGAAGTTGGAGTAATATTTATTTGGACAAGGAGGTCAGCCAATAGTGTGGCCGATGCTTTGGCAAAGCAGGGGACTTAAAGGAAAATCTTTTTTGGCCTGTACTGTAAATCTTGGGATAAAATATGGGGTCAACACTCATGCTGTGAGTGGTTGACATTGTATGTTTCCTTTTACTAATTCAAGTAGGGGACTTAAAGGAAAATCTTTTTTGGGTTGTACTGTAAATCTTGAGATAAAATATGGGGTCAACACTCATGCTGTGAGTGGTTGACATTGTATGTTTCCTTTTACTAATTCAATAAAAGTTGCCATTTCCAGTAAAAAAAGGCTCATGACCAATGTTCATAGAACCATACCAGACTTATAACCGGAAAAGGGAGAGGTTCGTGGGTTAGAGGTTCAGCCGAGGTCAAACCRTAATGATGTAACCTTTATATACATATATATTGTGGGTGACATAAATACTATATATAAATATATTTTACAAATGATATCACAATTGAATATGGTGGATAGATGGTTAGTTCCTTAATTTTTAAAGCAAATGACTAGGGTTCAAGCCTCTCAGCTCACATTTTCTTTAAAATACGTGCGTATGAAAGCAGCATATACATTAAAGAGGCAAAAATGAACACAAATAAAGATATGGACTAATGGTAACAGGATGTTACACATAAATAAAAGGTCATGGCTTCAAGTCTTGGCACTAGCATTTGGAATTTCCATTCATTTAGTGACCTAGGTGGTTTTATGAAACTGGAACTATTTCACTGGTGTTTCGGTTAAATCGGCTAGTCAAACAGTTTTTTATGAGATCTTGCTTTTAGGGTATGACTGAACCGGCCAGGGGCCTGGGCCATGGTTGAACTGGTCTGATCTGGTTTTCTAAGTACTAATCATGACTGATTAGCTTCTTGAATTTGCAATAGGATTATGGAACGGGATTGATTCTCCTAGATTTTGAGGGGAACAACGAAGAATTTTTTGGCTCTGGGTTTTGGAATGTAATGGACATTGAATTTGGGGGGAATTGGTGATGTATTTTGTTTGTTATGCATTTTCTGTATTGCTATGTTTTTTGTTTCTCGTTTTGAGTGATATCTCATCACTCATAGCTTATGCTTTGTAATCTTTTATTTTTTTGATGAATAAATTTTTGTTCTTTTTGTGCCAAAAGAGGGAAAAAGAGGAACTGGCTGCCATTAAAGTAGAAATCTCACTGGAATTCTTATTTTGAAAGAGTCTCAATTTATAAATTGAATTCTAGTAGTTTTATTCCATGTGTTTTCCTACCCAAGAAGAATCCATCTGCTTGGTCATGTGGTGCTCATGGTGAAATTTTCTTTCCAGCTGGACTGGGATCAACTTCAGATTGAGGTTGCACAATATATAAATAGTGATGTACGTGGTATTCCAACAAGCATGCAGCCTTCCAAGCCATTGCGTGGGTTTGTTCAGCGGCTGAAAGGGAAGCAGGGGCGCTTTCGTGGGAACTTATCTGGGAAACGTGTTGAATATACTGGCAGAACAGTTATCTCCCCCGACCCTAATCTGAAAATCACAGAGGTTGGCTACTGCTTGAAAGATATGGTTGAATTTCATTTTGTCAATTCTTTCCTGCCACTGTTTGGTTTCTTAAATGGGTGTTTCATCATTTTAGGTAGCAATTCCCATATTAATGGCTCAAATCTTAACATATCCTGAACGTGTTTCCCATCATAATATAGAGAAATTGAGGCAATGTGTTCGCAATGGGTCTCAGAAGTACCCTGGGGCAAATTTTATTAGATACCCTGATGGTAGCATTATGTAAGTTATAGTACATTCTGTCTGTTCCCTTGTTCCCCTGTTGTTGTCTTTTTGAATTACAATAGTTGTTTGCCTATGTGATTCTACAGGAACTTGAGGTTTTCCGCCAGAAAGCGTGCAGCTGATGAGCTCAAGTATGGTTACATAGTTGAGCGCCATTTGGAAGATGGTGACATTGTTCTTTTCAACCGACAACCTAGCTTGCACAGGATGTCTATCATGTCCCACAGGGTAACTTCAGTCAGTACAATTTGTATTCCTTTTATGATGTCCTCTACTTTTCCTTTTCTACCTTTTCTATTTACTTCTTTTAATTCCTTGCTTGTAGGCAAGAATAATGCCTTGGAGAACATTGAGATTCAATGAATCTGTTTGCAATCCATATAATGCAGACTTTGATGGTGATGAAATGAATATGCATGTTCCTCAAACAGAAGAGGCTCGCACAGAGGCTCTTATGCTGATGGGGGTAAGTGCTGTAAACTTTCATTTTTGTATATTTGTTTGCCTGTTCATGTTTTGTAATATTATGTACTTTTTTTGATTGTTAGCAAGATCAAGAGATTTCCTGACCAAAAAGCAGGGAAAAGAGTACAGGGTACATGCATCTCCTAAAATGGAAGCTCTAGTAGAAAGAGAAAACCTTGGTGTTGAGGCCCCATACACCCCCAACACAAACCACTCTGTAGGGGCAGAGGCCCAATACAAAACTCCTGCCTACCCTCTTGTGGCTGTGGAGTCAGCTACTGATTCACTTTTATCATAAACCAGTGGAATGAGATGTTCCCTCTGCCAGACAATGCTATAGCCTTCCATATGCATTGTCATTAGCAATGTTCCCCCCACTAATAAATCCTGTCCCAAGTTCAGCCTTGATAGATAACCATCTTGGCCCCAGCCCAAGACCATGCTCATTATTTAACTGCTATGACCCAGTTTTAGACTCATTCTAGATCCATCTTCCTTGAGACTCTTTGACTAGCCCATTATCTTCCCTCGCCTCTTCATATTCTTAAATTATTGAGTTCCACATTGTTCTATTAACCCCCCCTACTATCATTTTCTTTATCTTTAATTCCCAAAATACCCTCATCTTCAACCTTTGACGCTCCTTCTGGAACAGACATTTGAGTATCCCAACTAATCTCCTCCCCACCCCACAATGAATGAACTTTCGAGTTATCTTAACAGTTTGCCACCCTTCAACAACATGCCTTAAATCAAAACATTCTCTAGTAAAAGAGAGTTATAGAGAAGATGGAATCAAGTGGATTTCTCTAGGATTGATTTTTCTGAATTTTCCTCGTGCTTTGCACACTGCATGAAACATCTGTAAACACTACACACGCAGAGGGATGCCAAAAATATGGATCCAAACCAAGTTTGTGATTCCCATGTTTCTGGCAGTCCAACCAAAGGGTTCCATCTACCCAAAGCACATATATCCAATAAACTAATCCAGTAAAGAGTAAAATTCCTAAATGTCAAGCTCTTTCAGTTTCCCAGGGAATTCTAGATTTAAAAATGCCATTAGAACTACATAATTGTTTTTGAAAACATTAGATTCGAATCCAGAAATATTTAAAAGATGCTGGAAGGTTGGTTAAAGAATGACCATTAAGGGTATCTTTCCATTAACTCAGTGTAGTTTGGATGCGGTGGGTTATCCAGGTCCTTACATAGGTGGGACATTTAGGCCCCCATAGGTCAATTTCAGCATAATACTATGGTGCCATACAGTGATTTAAAAGGCGTACCTTAGGCGCTCAGGTGAGGCACATTTTAAGGTATGCACCTCACCTAGGTCCTAGGCACAGCAGTTTCAGAAGGTGCTTGCATAATGTGCCTAGGACCCAGGCGTGTGCCTTTCTAATTTTTTGCACCTTTTGTTCTTTTTTGAACCTAGGACCTAGGCGAACAAAGCTCCGATAATCCCCTATTTGCTAATGTTGTTCATTCATTCATCTTAGAAGAATATGTTTGTAAAAGACAATTAATATTATAAAGTGATTTATTTTTGTCTAAGGATTGGGAATTTAAGACCCTAACATGGATTTGTTTGGGCTTGTCTCGAGGGGATTGGGCGGCATATAGAATCAAGAATGCAAGATGTTTTACATTACATTAATTATTTAAAGTAATGCAATTGAGGAAAAAAAGAAATTGTGGGTTTTATATGCTTGAAAATGTTTTGTATGTTTGATTTTATTTTTAAATTTTTATTTGAATATGGTTTACATGTTATGTTTATGTATTTTAATTTTAGATAATATGTTTTTTAAAATATTTATTTTGAAATTAAAGTTTATATTTTTATTTATATTATGATTAGTATTTTTTTTGCATTTATTTTGATTTTTTGGTAATCTTTAATTTTTTTTGGCATTTTTTGTATTTTTGCACCTTGCTTCGAAAAGGCGTGTGCCTCGCCTTGTGCCTTGCGCTTTTAAAACACCGGTGCCATAGGCAATGTTAACTCTACAAAATGTTTGAACTAATAGCATCACTTTGAGGTTTAAGATTTTTTAAAGGAGCTTGAGAGTGAAGGAGATTCAAAGGTAGTGGGTTGGCTTAAAAATGAGAACTGAAACACTATGGCAATACTGAAACTTCACGCCGGAGATTAGATGTTTTGTATGGGATGCAGTCATTATTTTCAGTTGGGTACACATATTTGCCAATGGATTGCATTGGCCAAACAAGGGGTCAGCAGAATGCAGTTTTATTGGGGTCAGGTGAGGAATGCATGATATAAGAGTAAAAGATTAGGGGTCAGGTAGCAGGTACCAACCTTAAACAGTGGTGTTTTGCACCATTTGTACATAATTGTTCTTTATATCTCTTAATAATATCTCTGTTGCCGATAAAAAAAACGAACTCAAGGTCCGTTTGGTTCACAGTTGGAATCGGAATGGGAATCAAAATCCTTTGGAATCGGAATTGGAATGATCTATTCCCATAGTATGTTAGGTTCAGACAGAAATCGGAATGGGAATTGGAGTTAGCTGGAATGAGATTTCATTCCCAAGGGAGGGGGAGGGAATGGCCATTCCCTCTAATGGGGGAATGCCATTCCATCAGGATTGAGAATGGGAATGGGATTCCGATTCCGCCCAACCAAACAGTTGGAAATTTCGATTCTGATTCCAGACCTCTATTCCCTCAAACCAAACGGGTCCTCAGTGTAGTTGTACAAATCCTAGGCTTCTATATTTTACAGTCAATTTGTGTCAATTCCTTAATCCCTACCTGTTAAAGCATTGTAAGACTCCCTTGAAATTTAAGAGATGAAAATCTTATGCCTCTGAAAAGAGGAGCATCATCAGTAAACTGTAGGTGAGAAACCATGGACCTTTATCTTCCACATCCAATAGTCAATGTCTCTGCTACTTCAACCTTTTACATTAGATTCCAGTGGACATTAGCCAACAAGATAAAGAAAAAGGGGGAAGTACTGGGCTTACACAGAAGTACATGGATTTGTTAATCTCCTTAAAAGTTCCATCGTAAATCCTGGCGCTTCTTCACTTTGATTCTTCATTGTTATTGGATGAGATGCCTTACATGTATCTTCAAAGGTTGCCTTTATTCTTTTACTTTGTAATTATTGTGTTAAGAAGTGTCTGTCATCGTTCAACAGGTTCAAAACAACTTATGCACACCAAAAAATGGAGCCATTTTGGTTGCTTCTACTCAAGACTTTCTGACATCAGCCTTTCTGATTACAAGGAAAGACACCTTTTATGATCGTGCTGCTTTTTCACTTATGTGCTCTTATATGGGGGATGGGATGGATCCTGTTGATTTGCCCACACCAGCTTTAATTAAGGTGAGATACAGAAACTATCTTGATAACAAGTGTGTAATTTATTTTTAAGAAAAAGTAATTTTCATTCCAAAAAGTACATGAGAAGATGTACAAACAGGGGCCTAACAACAAAAATTCTAAAACCCACTCAGGATATTGGAAGATAATTTAATTTGCACTGTTCTAAAAATGCATTGGAAGAGAATTTCCATCTGAAGCTGTGGTGCAGAGAGTTTGAAATATCATATATTTCGTGTAAAAGATGGACAATCCTCGAAGGACCAAATCCTGTCTTTTAAGCCTAACTGGATGCATTTCTGGAATCATTTGTTTTTGTTTTGACAAGTAGCAAGAATTTTTATTAAAGATCAATAAGTGTTAATCTTTCATTTCCCAACACAGCTTGCACTTTTAGAGGGATAGTCTTACACTATATTTCCTTCATTAGGAAGTTCACCCCCAAGGAGTTAGAGTGGATAAGGAGATTGAAAAAGGTAGCACAAGAAAATAAGCCATTGGGGGAGGGAGACCAAATTCTGCCATCATTCAAACTTTGATGTTTGATACTTTGATCCAAGAAAACTGTTTTGAACTTTGGCAAAAGGAGAGCAAGGGAATGACATTCATTTTCTCTTAGTCCCCTCCTGAACCCCAAATCCCAAATTATCCCATGTGGGGAGGTCACACCAAATTTGAAATAGATCCAAATTAGTAGTTGGACAAACAATAAAGAATAGGAAATTGCAATTTGAGGGACAACTCAACAATCTACAGATCATCCCAAAACAAGACTATTCCCATAACCCACATCAAAATGGTGAAGTTTATAAAAGTTGGGAGTACCTCATTTATTTCTTTCCACAGGGAGTTTGAAGAATTTTGAGGAGCCATTTTTGCATCCCACCCATTTTCCGTTAAACCATGAATTCTTCCAATGACCTTGTGTCATATCCTATCATCTTCAAGGAGGAATCTTCACAATCACTTTCCTAACAAAGCTGTATTTCTCTTAACTAGTTTCCAATGCTTAGCCCACTCTGTTCCTTAGACTTACACACCTGTTCCCATTTGACCAAGTGGACCTTCCTTTCATCACTTGATTCCCCACCCATTGATAAGTAATTCCTTTTCCACATAGCCTAACTTCTTAGGAAATCTTTCTAAGGCTGGTTTCCAGAATCTTTTTGCTCTTGAGTTGCCCTCCAAAGGAAGGCCAAAGTATTCTAGTGGCCATTCTTTGACCTCACAGCCTAGGATTCTTGCTAATAACTGAATATTTTCCACTCCCATATTGGTTCCCGCCACACAACTTTTCTCCAATTCACTTTTAAATTTGATATCCTTGGGGAAGACTTTGATTAAATCTTTTAAGTTCCTCATACTATTTTTTTCATGTCCTTCTTAGAAAATGATTATATCAATTGCAAATCGTAAATGAGTTACAACCACCTAATTTCTACAAACCCTCCAACCCCTAATGAAATTAACCAAATCTTCCCTGATGATCACTCTGCTTAAGACTTCTGTAATCAACGTGGACAGGAAGGGGGAGATAAGGTCTCCCTGTCTCAAACGGTCAAACCACTTTTAGCATGGAAGAAAATTCTAGCAATTCCTTTTATCAAAACTGATAAATGTATTGAACTAATACATCCCTTGATCCATTTTCTCCAATGATCTTCCAATCCAATCTTCTTCATTAAGCCAAGAAGGAAAGGCTAGTCTACCATACGATATGCCTTTTCCAAATCTAATTTTCATATTAAACCTTTACCTCCCTTATTTTTCTTTTTTCCCAACATTCATTTTCCACTAGGATTTGGTCCACAGTTTACCTACCCTCCAGAAAGCTCCTTGAAACTGTGAAATAAATGAAGGCAAAATAATCTTCAACCTTCCTGTCAAGACTTCTGTGATGATTTTGTAATGAGTACCCACAAAACTTATGGGTCTAATGTTCGTATGGATTTTAGCCTCTTTCTTTTATGGTACTAGGGCTAGGAAGGTTACATTCTGTATATGTAAATGTTTGGAATGGTTATAGATCAATTGTGTAGCGAAAAGAGCAAAAATGAAATCCTTAAAGGGAATTTTCTACAAATCACATTCATTGCAGAATATGATGCAATTATAGAAGTTCATAGAATCTGCTGAAATTTTAGCCATAAGGTGGGGTGATATTTTGTTTGTTTACTTTCTTTTTGGTGATTTCTTATCACCGTTTCTTGTGCTTTCTTTTTATTTTAATTTTGTAGAAAAGGGTTTTACTAAACAAGGTGTTATTTATAACTAACTAGAAACCATATCCATGAATTCTTAAAAAGGAGAAAAAAGAAATCACATTTAAAAATAAATAAATAGGTCTCTAACTGGATTTATATAGGTAGACTCCAATTCTAACTAGGAGAAATGAAGTATGCTATGGAGAAAACTACAATTAGAAATGCTCTTAATGTAGATGGATCCTCAAAAGGGTTTTAAGATGTGCTAAAGAGTTAGTCAAGACTAACTAAAGTCATAGTTGAGATAACTTTACCAAATAAATATTGAACAGGTCCAAAAGGATATAAAAACCTATCCTACTTCTGCTAAATGGAGTGGTGACATGGCCCATCTAAACCATCTGGTATATAGGAGACCATTTCTAGTCAATGAACCACCAGTCTACATGAGTGTATCCCACTTTTTATTGGTGGTTTCTTGAAATAAGATTCTTTGATCTTTTAAAGGATGAAAAGGAGCTTTATTATCTCCGAAGAATAAAACATATGAAAGAACAATAATTCGGACCTATTATCAAGCAAGATACAACCCCTTCCCTAAAGGGTAGGCTCAACCATGGTACAACGTGATATTGATGAAGTTACTTGGTAGAGATGCTTACACAAAAAAAACTTTCCAATCCAATGCCATCCTAAAAAAATATTACCCATAAAGAGTGGGGGTGAAATTGGGCCTAACCTGAGCCCGAGCTGACCCAGCCCGCAATTCTATACGGACTGGGCTTGGATTTTCAGTCCTTGAGCAGGGCCTGGGCACAAAAGGTTGTTTCTTTTTTAATTTTTTGGGTTGAGCTCGGGCGTTGCCCTTAGGTAGCCTGATCCTGGCTCGAGCCCCATCTGACCTCATCCTATTCTGAGCCCAGTCTGACTACATATATGCATATATGCATACATAGACACATTTGCATGCATGCAGGCATATATGCGTACTAATTTTTTGGCAAGGCATACATATATGCATACTGCCATACATGTACACAGACATTGAATGTATTTCACCCAGTTTGGTCCCCTCCAGCTTCAGGGTTCATTAAATTAAAATTTGATGGAAGCAGCGACGGAAATCCAGGTCTGTCGGGTATAGGGGGGTCTTTCAGGGATGATGAAGGTCGAATTATTGCATTGTATTTGGGTCCTATTGGTTGGGGGGACTCTTAGAGCTGAAATATTTGCTGTTATAGAAGGGTCAAAAAGAACTCAAGAGTTAAATATCAGAAACCTGATAGTGGAAGGTGATTCTAAATTGACTATCAACTGGTTGATGAAAGATGATTCTAGTTTGTGGAAGTTTCTGAATGAAAAGAAGAAAATTAGATATCTCATAGAACATATGGAAGTCAAGTTTCAGTGGACTAAGAGGTGCGCCAATTCCTTGGCAGATTCATTGGCTAAACAAGGGGTGGGAAGAGATAATTTGTTCTGGGCAACATTGTAATCTGAACTGTTCTCTTGGGAGGGTTAAGAGTTTTTACCCCTCCCTTTGTATTTTTCTATATTAAAATCTCTTAATAAAAGTCTTTGTTATTTATCCAAAAAAAAATTGATGTCAAATTTCAGTGTGGGTTGATTGACCAACCAGAGCCCAGCCTGGGCCTGAGCCCAACCTGAGTGCATCAAATTTCAGTGTGATCTAGGCGTAGGTTGGACAGTTCAGGCTTGAACTAGGGCCTTATGACCCAATTCTTAGGTTGGGCTTGAGTTGAGTTTAAACCTGAGCCAGAGCCCAGCCTGGGCCTGAGCCCAACCTGAGTGCATCAAATTCCAGTGTGATCTGGGCGTAGGTTGGACAGTTCAGGCTTGAGCTAGGGCCTTCTGACCCAATTCTTAGGTTGGGCTTGAGTTGAGTTTAAACCTGAGCCAGGCCACCTGACTTGCACCTCTAAAGAGAGGCTTACTTTTGACATGTGACTAAGTGCATGGGCGCTGAAATTTTCCCTGCAAATAAAAGCCAGCAACACAATCATGTGGGGATCTTTTGGTCTCCAAATTCCCAACTAAATTGCCTTGTCAAAGAATTCTGGGTAATTTATGAAATTTAAACAGTGGCATTAGCAGGGTCACTCCCTATGTTTATATGTGTCTATTTATGGATATGCATGTGGGGGGATGACAAAGCTGATTCGAACCATCCATCAGGGTAGAAGATTTGGATCAGTCACATGTTCAAATCTCCTGTTAATATGTGCCCTCTTCTCCACTTTGTGCTGGTGCTCTTCCTTGTTGATGTCATCTATACAGAGTTTTATTTTTATTTTTTTTTTCAGTTTAGATATTGCCCATAGAAGGGAATATTCTGGACATCTGGCAAGGGTTTTAGGGCTGAATTTGTCTCATGAATAGAGGATACAGAGAAATACATCAAGCCCTTTAAGCCCCTAACCATCTTCTCATGGTGATTCCAGGGTCATTTAGACTTGTTTGCTCAAGCAACCTGACTAGCAATCCACACAAAAGCAACTTATATACATATGTAGCTCTGTATTCAAATTAGAGCCCCATCACCAAAATGCTTTGGAATTTTAATCACATTCAGTTGGTGCATCTTGCAGCCAATAGAGCTTTGGACTGGAAAACAGTTATTTAGTGTTTTGGTACGTCCACATGCCCATATGAGGGTGTATCTCAATCTTACTGTGCTGGAGAAAAATTGTGTAAAGCAAAAAGAAACAATGTGTCCAAATGATGGATTTGTCTATTTCCGGAATAGCGAACTTATATGCGGGCAACTTGGCAAGGCTACATTAGGTATGTTATTTCCCTTTCAGTTCTTTTTTTTGATAATTATTTTTATTGTTCAAGAACCAATTGCTTTGTACTTTGGTAGATACCATTATTTGTTAATTGCATTCTTTGGTTGAGTGGATTTTCTGTTTTCTTCTAATAAGGTAAAAATCTGTAGACCTCTTGTAAAAACAACTGGGGTTTATAAAGTCCTTCAAGTGGCCTAGTTAGCTTTAAGTGTTATTTTTTTTATTACCAAGTTCTATAGATCATCATCATCATCATTGTCCAAGCCTTATCCCAAATATATTAGGTCTGCAACATGAATCCTGTTTGGCCATTCCATTCTGGTTAGTGCCTTACCGTTGTTATGCTATGGGTACTTGAATCATTTCTAACTACTTTTCGACCCTTGTCCATTTTGCTCTAYCCCTTCAACTTCTATAGTTCTGACTTCTAAAATTCTGTGGTTGCATAAAACTTGGGCTATTTGGGACTAAAAAATGAGTGCATTGTTTTGAAACTGGGAACCTGGTTTTCGATAGCATCATGACTATCAGATAAATTGCTTTGGAACATGCCAGTGGATTTGATTTTCTTTCACTATAAAAGGTTTAACATAGGAATTGGCCAGCCTGGTGGTAGACCTGGCCATGGGATTGGTTTCATTTAAGAGTAGTGCTTTGTACCAAAATACAGGTCAGGACCAAACAATAATGTGGCTGATGCATTAAGCAGAAGAGTTTTGTTTCTGGCCAACAACTATACAAGTGATTGGCTTGATTGTCTCAAGGAGTTGTATTCTACAGGCCCTTATTTCAGCCACATATGGAAGGAATGTAATGAGGGGCAGCAAAGGGAGTATGTGTTGGAAAATGGCTTTCTTTTTCTTGGTTATTGTGCATTCCCCAATTTGACTAAAGGAAACCATTGTTTCAGATTTGCATGATGGTGGTGTAGCCGTGTAGGTGCACATTTTTGAAAGATAAAACATATGCACTTGTGGAGCACAAATATTACTGACTAAAGATGCGGAAGGATATGAAAAGTTTCATAATAGGTGTATGATTTTCCAAACCATCAAGGGACATTTATAAATATGGGTTGATACACTAGTACACTACACATACAGTCCAAAAAACACCTTCGGAAGGTATGAGTATGGATTTTGTGGTTATGTTGCCACATTCTCAGTGAGGTATAGCTTTGTGTAGTTGATCAGTTCTCTAAAATAGTAAAACTTATGAGCTGTAAAAGGACAATTGATGCATCTAGTATTGCTCATTTGTACTTTCTGGAAATGGCTCGTCTACATGGGTTCCTCAGTCCATTACTTTAGGCCAGACTCCAAGTTTCTTTCTCACTTTCAAAGTAGTTTATTGGGGAAATTTGAGACTGATTTGCAATGTAGTTCATCTCATTATGAACAAACCAATGGTCAAGTCAGTGATCAGTGTTCAATTCAGTGGTACGGAATGACACCTTAATAATGGTCTACCTATGAAAAGAAATATTTTCAGGTAGTACCTATTCAAAGCTTAGCAAGAAAAAGATTGTGCCTTTCAAGATTTTGAAGAAGATCAAGGACAATGCTTATGAAGTTGACTTATCAATTGATTTGGGCATTGATTCTACTTTTAATGTTGGTCTCTCTACTCATCATCACAAGGAAGGTGAAGATGAGATTGAGAACATTGTAGACAGCAGGGTACTTTGTTTTGATGATAAGATGCTTGCTAAATATTTGTTCGGATAGAAGGCAGATGATGGTCTCTGGGTTTCAAAAGAATAATTGTTACAGTTAGGTCTTCCTTTTTTGTGATAAGCAAAGAAAATCATTTATTGATTTAAATCTGAAATTAAGATACACCAATACTTTCCATAGCAAAGTATATTACAATACTGCCCAAAATAAGTATGGTCTATTAGCTCCCTGTTTGGCTAATACATTCGCAAACCCATTAGCTTCCCTTTTAACCCAATTGAAAGAAGAGTTGAATCTCTTTGCAAGTTGGTCAATCTGTCTAAAGGTGGTGAATCTTAGCTTCCAAGGTGCTGACTCAATTTTCTTTGCGCATGTTATAGTCAGAAGTGAATCTCCTTCAATTTCTATCTCTCTTGCCCCCAGCTGTTCTGCAAGCTTCAGTCCTTGCCATAGAGCCTTTGGTTCAGCTTGGATCGAGTCTGGAAACCCGATTGGTCCCAAGAACAAGGCCAACACTACTCCATGATGGTTTCGAATGACTCCCACTACTCCTGCTCTTCTTGGGTTGCGAAAGGAACTCCCATCGAAGTTCAGTTTCAGTTTATTTGCCCCTGGTGGTTTCCACTCCACTCTTATAGTTTCTCTATGTGGTTCTGAGAGTGCCACTTCTATCCAATTTCTTAAGAAGTCATCCGTGGGAATACCTTTGAACAAATCCAAGGTTTTGACCCAATGTACTGATCTGATCTTGATGGCTTCAATCACCTCTGCTAAGGATTTACTTTTTCCATGGAAGATCCTCTGATTTCTCTTTCCAAATTGACCAAACCACAGCAGAAGTCATCCGTGGGAATACCTTTGAACAAATCCAAGGTTTTGACCCAATGTACTGATCTGATTTTGATGGCTTCAATCACCTCTGCTAAGGATTTACTTTTTCCATGGACGATCCTCTGATTTCTCTTCCCAAATTGACCAAACCACAGAAGCCTGTACAGTCTTCTCTGCATCTTCCCCTTTTCTTCTGCTGCCTTAGGAAGGTTGGGTTGAAAGACTCACTATGTCTTGTGGGGGAGGTGGGGGGGGGTCCATCTACATCCAAAGAGAGAACTGAAATAGTCCCAAATAGAAGAAACAAATAAGCAGGAAAGCAGTAAATGAGACTGGGTTTCACTGCAAGCCTTTTAGAGAACACACATATGAGGAGAAAGGCACATGTTTGGCCTTTTTTTTTCTGTAGCACGTCGTAGGTGTTTACCTTCCCTAGAAACATTTCTCAGCAAAGAGCTTGTACTTTATGAGGAATTGGTTTACACCAAATTTCTCTTATAGGAAAGTATACCCCCCTGCTGGCCAATTGAGCAAGTAAGTTGAAGAAAGAACAGGACAAGGAGAGAGTCAAACTCATTATCTCTCAACCCCCTTCTAAACCCTAAATCCCAGTTTAACCTAGATTCTGAGGGTGTAGCTACACTTGCTATAGGTTTAGCCTTTAGGCTTGACAGAGCGTAGAGATTAGGGAATTGCAAGCTAAGAGGTTGGTCTCCAAGCCAAAGGTCTTCCCAGAATAAAGCTTTATTCCCACACCCAAGATCAAGATGAATGAAGTTGGAAAACAAAGGTAAGATTTCATAGATTGCTTTCCAAGGGGTGTTGGAAGTTGCATTAGCTGCTACTTTTGCATCCCAACCCTTAGCTGCCGTGCGATCAATGCTTTCAATGACCTTGTGCCATAGCTATCTTCCTCACGAGGGAACCTCCATAACCATTTTCCTAGTAGGGCTGTATTCCTCTTCACTAAGTTCCCAACCCCTAGTCTTTCTTACTCTTTGGTTCTACAAACTTGTTCCCAGTTTACTAAATGGTCCTTTTTCTCCTCTCCTGGATCCCATAAGAAGTCGCTCATTATCTTCTCTAGCTACTTAGCTACTTTTGCCGGGATCCTAAAGGTGGATAGGAAGTAAGTAGGCAAGTTTTCTATGGTGGATCAAGGTAATCCTTCTCCCCAAAGAGATCGAATTTCTTTTCCACATGGCTAATTTCTTGGTGAATCTTTCTATGACAGGTTTCCAAAAGCCCTCAATGGTTTGGGTTGCCACCCAAAGGCAAACCAAGGTACTCCAATGGCCACTTTTTCACCTCACACCCAAGTAGTTGTGCCACTGGTTGGATTTCATCCTCCTCTATATTAACTCTTACCACACAACTTTTTCCCCAATTTACCTTTAATTTCAAGGTCCTTTGAAATTCTTCCACTAGCATTTTCAAATTCCTCAAGCTATAATCATCAGCCTCCTCACAGAAGATGATAATATCATTTGCAAATTGCAGGTGAGTTACCATCATCTCAAATTTCCCTACCCTCCAACCTTTGATAAGACCTTCTAGATCAGCCTTTATGATTTGCTTGCTTAGAACCTCAGCCACAAAAGTGAATAAGAAGGGAGAGAGAGGATCTCCTTGCCTAATTCCTCTTTTTGCTGGAAAGAAATCATTTGCCACTCCATTAATTAGGATAGAGAAATGCACCGAACTAAGACAGCCTTTGATCCATTTTCTCCATCTTTCTTCCAAACCACTTTTCTCTAACAAACATAAGAAGAAAGGCCAGTCCTCCATATCACATGCCTTCTCCAAGTCCAATTTACAGATAATGCCCTGCCCTCCCTGCTTTGTTGTTGATGCCACACACTCATTTGCAATTACGATTTGGTCCACAATTTGTCTTCCTGCAACAAAGGCCCCTTGGTTTTGGGAAATGACCAAGGGTAAAACATCCTCTAGCCTTTCGGCCAACACTTTTGCAATGGTTTTGTAAAGGCTACCAATAAGACTTATAGGTCTGTAATCCTTGGGGGTTCTAGTTTTCTTGGGATTTAATGCTAGGAAAGTAGCATTTGCTCCCGGTGAGATTTTCCCTCTATGATGAAATTCTGTGAATACAGCCATTAAGTTATCCTTATGATTTCCCAACAATCCTAATAGAAAGCTATTGAGAAACCATCAGGCCCCGGGGCTTTTGACCTTTCTATATTGAAGACTACTTCATGGACCTCATCCTCACTGATGGCTCTTAATGCAGCTTTATGAACCAGCACCTTGTCCCAACTCAAGTCCCCGAAATCAATAGATCTTTCGTCTAGGGTGGCAAAGATAGATATAAAATGATCCACAAAGCACTTTTCAATTTCCTTCTTTGAATTTAAAATCCGACCTTCACTCACCACACTTGAGATAATACATGTTTGGCAGCACCCAATCTCTGCCATCACTTACATTCCGTGCTTTTATTGAAACAAATAATTGGCCAAGCAATTCT